ACTGCGACCCCAGGAATGGTGAAAGATGCCAAAAAAAATGTAATTTCTGACGTTTGAGAAACATGGGAACGAACACGGTTAAGGGGCGCGCGGGATTCGAGGGATAGTTTCGGATTATTTACGGTTTTGGCGCGAGAATTGTTCCTTTTCTCGTGTTAGTGAAGTCAGAATAGATATCTGAACACTTCTAAAGATATCACGTAGATTTCAAAGTACTAGTTTAACAAACCAATATTTTCAATTGACAATTAAGTAAAAAGTAGTGTCGCCGAAAATAAATAGACCTTTTTAGCTTTCAGTTTGCAACAATAGTTTGCCGTCTGTCGCTGATGGCCGGTTAACAAAACGTACTACTGTATGCAATATCTTACTAGGTAGAATGTTCTCCCAATAGATCTTGACATATTTATCTCGGTCGCTTCTTGATTGTTCGTGGAAGAAACCTCGGGAAGCAGATGTGAAAGATGCTATATACAACTGGATCTAAATTACTACCTGTATTTACTGGCATGGCTACTGACAGGACTAAAACGAGGAACGAAGAACGGAAACGAACCCAGTGAATGGGAATCTAAAAAAAAAATGGAAACAAAAGGTAATTTAAACCGTACCCCTGTCAATAACTTCAGCGCCTATTCTCCCTTTTTTTTCATTTTGCAGTTCCCCGTGCGCGCTACCCATTCCCTCTTTATAGTAATACCTTCGTAGATGGCCACAACTAGTTCACATATTGTACAATTTGGTTCACTAGCGTTTAAAATAAAGTTTTTTTAACGGAGTGCAATAAAGCAAAGTTAAAAACTGTTGAAAAGAAACGTCATTCATACTTCAAAAGTACTACGACCCCAACCATGTAATATAGATCACACTGTAGTCCTGCATGCAAACCTCGAACGCCTAACTAGAACATGCGATAAGGGCACCCGATGATCGTTTGATCTTTTTGTCTATCGCATAAAAACGCGAGAGAAAACGTTACCTGTTGCATGCATCATTTCATACACGATCGCTGGGACGTCATAAAGCCATCAGCAATGGAGATTTCTTGATAGCCGCTTTCAGCATATCGCTTTCCCACCTTTGATGAACACCTAAAACGACTGAACGTTGAGATGAAGAAAAGAAAAACTTCTGAAGTTTCTCAAATGGTTTTCTCTTAATGCTTTAGAAGCCGGAGTGGTTAATTTTGAGCTGCCCTAGAAACTATTTTATCCAATGGGTTGTCTTAGGAGAATTTTGCTCGTCTGGACAATTTTTAAGGTTATTGGATT